GCAACCTTGCTGTTAAGAGTGCACGCTCTATCCACTGAACCATCTGGGCAGCAGCTCAGCTCAAGTTGCTGAGTTCAGTCTTAGTTGCGGGCGGACATAGCCCACCATTGAACAGGCAGTCTTGTTGTTAGGAGCATGTGCTCTCACCAGCTGAGCCATCCTGCCACCTGTTGGCAGCTCAGCGGCAGCTCAGCTCGGGCGCAGCTCACTGGCTCATGTGGGAATCGAACCGGAGACCCTGTTGCTCAGAGCTCGCATTCTTAAGCTAACGTTTAACCAACTGAGCCACTCGGCCGGCCCCTCTGTTTTACTTTTTATAATCTCATCTGCACCATAATCACATGGGGTGCTGGAGAGGACTTTAAAATTACTTTCTTTCCACAAAAGCTTTTGCCTAAAATACTGCCTGTTGATAAGGGCTTATTTGATATTAAGTACATAATGTATTTAATCATTGATAAGTCATTTTCAGGTTAATTTGCAGCTAGCTTTCGATCTTTTCCATCTCAATTAGCAAACGCGTATGCTAGTGTATAGCCAAGTTCATGGCAAGACTGAAATACATGTCTGTGCACACGTGATTCAAAAGCAGTGACTGCAATAGGCTTTGTTAACCATACAACTCTGTAAACAAAACTAGTAAAATATTTTCAATGAAGGTATTACTTGACTAAGTGACAATGTTTTTAAATGTACAAATGTGGCTTTAAAGACCTTGTATGTACTCTAGTTTTAGTTTCATTAAAGTGTGAACTTTTAAACATTTTCTATAACTTGACAGAGGTCTGGCTCAATTTACTAGATATATGGAGAAGCATTTGTACAAAAAAAATCAATATTAAAAAAATAAAGTATTTTTTAAAGTATTTTGGTTCTAAAGTAAATAACCAAGATTTGCAAAATATTCAGATTCTTTCTAATTTCATTGAAAATTGGCATTTCAGAGAATTCCCATTTCATTAAGCTGTACTTTAAATTTATACAATTTAAGGAAAAGGAGTAATGATTTTCACTCAATATCCATAGCAAGGATCTGTCTTGTGCGTCATGGAACACACTTCGGAGTTAAAGTAAATTACTGTAGTAATTGTTGTTTGGCCTACATTACTTTTGCTTTATGAAAATATGTTTCATTTGATCTAATGCTGTTTATTTCTTTCTAGAAAGTGAGCCATCACTTTTAGAATTCAAACCATTCAGTAATGGTCCTTTGGTTGGCGGGTTTGTTTACCGAGGCTGCCAGTCTGAAAGACTCTATGGAAGCTACGTGTTTGGAGACCGTAATGGGTATGTTTCCTGATGCCACAATTTAATATATCAAATGACATATCCATTGATTAGTGGGCAAACTGCCATAAAATATTCAAATGATGGTCTCCCTGTGGGGGGTCAGGTCTGGGACACACATAAATATTTACTTTTAGTTCCACTATGTATGGTGGTTTAATTAAAGAACTTCCTAAGAGATGCTTTTTAAAAAGACTTGACCAAGTTCATAAAAAGATTTTTTTAAAGTGCAGAGAAGTCTTCAGAAGGATTTTTCATATCATTTGGGAAACTTCCCTTGATCCTTAACATAAATTTACCTACCATAATAATGAGTAATTTGAAAACTACTGTTTTACTTGAGTTTATAAATCTTTTAAAAATTATCTTGGAAGGCTGAGAATGTTTGCTTTTGCCAGACTTTCAGGACATTTGGCAAGTTAATTTGTCTCTATTGGTAGGAATACTACAAAATTAAATTTTAGCCTAAAGTTTAGAGGTCACATTGTGGATAATTCTAAGAAACTCTGTGATGAAACCCAAATTAAGAATCTCGTTTCCCAAGTCGCTGGCCTTCAGGCATATGGCAGAGCTGATATGCTTGGTCGCTACAAGGAATAGAAAAGTGTACTGACCCCCCTGATCTTCCCCTGTCCCTCTCTCTGATTAATAGCACAGCATGGAGTCTAGTCCTGGAGAGGAAGTATCATTCTCTGGATGAAGGGGAGGGCTTTTCTCATACTCAGGTACTTTTAGTGCCCCCCGACAAACAAAACCTTATCTTTAAGTACTTTCTCCCCACATGGGACTTGCACAGTATTCACACACATTATGGGCTATAATGTCTTTCCCTTTAGAAGCCAGGTCTATGACACAACGATTATTTCTTGAGTTTTATTTTAAACATCTGATTGTGTTTTTGAAGCAAAGGTGTGTTTTCACCCTTGGTTTATGGTATGTTTGTGTTGTAGGAATTTCTTAACTCTCCAGCAAAGTCCTGTGACCAAGCAATGGCAAGAAAAACCACTCTGTCTGGGCAACAGTGGTTCCTGTAGAGGTTACTTTTCAGGTCACATATTGGGATTCGGAGAAGACGAATTAGGTACCGTACAAACTGTTTCTATTGAGTTCCAATCTCACTCCCTTGTCCAAGAGGCTTTGTTCTGCTCTGAATAAATATAACCATCTCATCCTCCATTTGTTGGAAATGTAATCTACAGCAAAGATGACCTACTATAGAGATTTGAGGTGGTCCACTTATGTATTCTCTTCCAATAACCTTTCTCTGGGGGTCTTTACCTGTCATTTCTAGTCCAGAAATATGAAAGAAACCAAAGCAGGAAAAAGGCAGGCAGGAACAAAAGAGAATTTTTGAGACCTGAAGAGAGGGAAAAATTTTTAAAGTCCACTGATATTTTTTATGCATCTGAGTCATTTGTTCATATTTTCTACTAAAAACCTTTCCACTTATCCATGTCTCTTGGAGTAAATTAAAAATCTGTTGCAATCTGAATTTCACATTATCCTCTATTTCCTAATTAAAAAAAATTTTTTTGCCCATTAGGGCATACAATTTGTGCATGATAATCTGAGTTTTTAGATCTGCCTTGAAACAAAATGGAAATTATCTTCTCATTGATGATCTATGGGATAACATACAATTTATTTGTTTGTATGTTACTGAAATGGATGCAGCTTAAAAAGCAAAAAGATGTTGAAATTGGAATGTGGTCAAAGAGTAGAAATGCTACTAATTTAAGTTTCAGAGATAAATTTGAGGGAGTCACTTTCATAGTTACTCCCTTTAAAGAACAATATGCAAACAGTAAGTATGTTCCTTCAGCCTCAGAGATAAATTTCTTACTATTAAGAGAGAAGAGCTGTATTTCCAATCTAAATCAAAATGTTTTCTCTAAAAGTGCAGGTTTGATTTTCCTATATCAAATGGAGAATCATCAGAAATAGTTCCATGCCATTTACTTAGGTTAACAAGGAACTCAGACTAAATTCCTGAAACACATAATACATTCTTCAGAGCCACAGGAGTATGATTCAAAGAAGAGAAATCCAATCTGTCCTTTTCTTGTTCCAGCATCAAAAGCATTTTACAGTTAATTTTCCCTTGATATTCTTCTACCCGGCTCACAGGAATCAGAAAGATACCCTTTCTCATTTAAACCCTCTGTAGTGTAATTTAAGTTTCATTGGCAAACTCTGATTTTTAAAATACAAATTGGGATTAAATTGTTTGTGGCAGAATTATAAATGAATATGTAGATGTTGTGACTGAATCATTTAGATTTCCCCAGACCTTACTACAAATGACTCACCATTAGTCATTCTATTAGCGTCACCACCATTGGTTAAAATATCCAAATGTCTATCTACACTTATTACTGTGTTGGGAGCAGAACCAACAAATGAAGCATACACAACCCTTACTGTCCAAAAGCTACAACATCATGCATACTCCATAATTAAAAATATAGTTGCACTGAATTATGCTTTAATATGAAACTTAATTTAATTAAGAACCACATAAGAAAATGAGTGTTTTTGTTTTTTTGAAACAAAAAAATGTTGAGAGTCTGCTTTTAGTATGTTTTTTTTTTTCAACTATAAAATCAGGATAGGTTTGTTGGAAGTATCAAATGAGATAAACTACATAAGGTACTTGATGAAATATTAATTGTTTCACTTACATTCCTTTGCTTTTTAACTTCATTTTTATTTTTTCTGTTGTGTCTGTGTTTTTAGCGTAAACCCCATAACATCCTTTTCAGAGGTAAGGAAGTAGTAGGGTTTGCTTAATACATAATAATAGAGGGGAATAGAGAAATATAGACTAAATCAAGGACTACCTCATGAATGAGAACCAAATATACATTTTAAAGCCCAATAAACATGTAATCGTAAGTACAGCTTCTAATTCCTTATTCATGGGATCCACCCTAAACATCGTTATATGGAAGTAGTGGCAAAAAACAAGAGTGGTTCTCTCCTAAAAGAGGCCTCCACCTGTGATGTTTCACCATCATGAACACGGCCTAGCACCAAGAATTAGAGAGGCCAAGTCTTTCCCTCTCTCTTTCCAAATATTTAGATTATTATATCTTGTTTTAAAAAGCTAAAAATTAAAAAGGAGTACCCCAATTCCATCCGGCTTCAAATGATCAATTAACAGTAACAACACGGTAATCAAACCTTTCCATCTTGGGCATCATAAGTCAGGGTAAACTTTCACATTCAATACTCATTCTATAAATATTTACTGAACGTCTAGTCTATGCAAAGCTCTGTTCTAGGTGTTGGGAATACAGCGGCAAATAAAGAGACAAAAATCTAAACTGCTGTCATGAAATTTATATTCTAAAGGGAGACGATAAAATAAATTTTTAAAAAATATACTGTATGTCAATTGGTAATAAATGCTTAGGAGAAAAATCTAGTTGTGAAGAGGGATAGAAATTGCTAGGAGTTGGGATAAATGCAATTTTAAATAGTATAGTCAAGAAAGACGATATTTAAGCACAGACTTGAAGGAAGGGAGAATGTGAACCTTGTGGAGATCTGCTGAAAGGCAGGAGCCTGAGAAGGAACCTGGGACAAGACCTGAGATAGGAACTCAGTGAAGAGCCTGGCCTGACAAGAGAGCCTGGGACAGTGGGGGCCTGAGGCGGAAGCCTGGGACGTGTGCAAAGCCAGGAGGCCAGTGAGGCGAGCAAGAGCAAACGAAGAGGCAGAACATGGCGAGTGAGGTCAGAGCGCTAAGGAGGGACAGCACAGGCCACAGTTAGGACTTACCTTTGCTCTGAGATTAGAAGCTACTGGAGGGAACTGAAACAAAAGAGTGTGATCCAACTTATAGGATCCAACTAGCTTTAAAAGAATCACTGTGGCTGGTATTTTGAGAGGAAACCTAAAAGGACACAGACAGACATAGGGATATCAGTTAGGAGGCTGTGGCCATAATCCAGTGAGAGATGAGTGTCTGCTTGCACGGGTGTAGTGGTAGGTGGGAGACGGAGAGAAGTGAGCGAAATAGGGGTGCACTGTGAAGGTGGACGTGGGGAGCTGCCATGACCTTTAGTCCAGCAAGTGATCTTCCTGAGGATATGTGTGTGTGCATACACACACACACATGTATATACACACATATATACATACATGTAAACACATATATTGTATATATAAAATATCTGCTAGGCAATAGGAAGTAAGGCCTTGTGGTCCTGGGAATTAACTTGCTGTATTTCTCTCTTCATAGGTGAAGTTTACATTCTATCAAGCAGTAAAAGTATGACTCAGACTCACAATGGAAAACTCTACAAAATTGTAGATCCCAAAAGGTGAGATTTTTTTTTTTTTTTACATTCCTTTAAGTCAAGAAATATTCTTCTCCATGTTATTTTAGTGCATTTGAAGTAGTGATAGACACATTGCAATTAGCAGTCAAGAAAGAGGAATGCTTCCGCCCCGGTCCATATGCTAAGTGCTGTCCTGAGGGAACGCTGGTCTCCCATCTTTGAAGGCTAGACTGGACTACGCTGAACTCTAATAATAAGCCTGATTCTGATCACACATTCATGTCATTCTTGCTGTCATCAGACAGCAGCACTATATTTGTGGGATCAGGGTCCTCAGTGAAATGTCAGAGTAGGAGCCGGAGGTGTGAGACAGTGGCTTCGGCTCTCATGTTGGGAACAATCAATGCTCTTTTGCTTTCGAGAAAACTAGAAATGTACTGGCCGACATGACAGCTGCTTGATATGATTTTTGTTAGGTAATTAGAATATTATTTTGGCAGGTCAACATCTGAGCCTTATTTCAAAGCTATGGAGGCTCACAGCTCTCATGCAGCTTCTGTGACTAAACAAATGAAAACTGAAACAGTGTTTTGTTATTTACTTCAGCAAAAAAAAAGAGATTTGAATGTTTTAATCCTTTAAAGAGTATAGTTATCCCTCCCCTGCTCTTCTCTACCCACCCATCACAACTTCAACACACATACAACATTCAAATTATCTTGACTCATAATTAGTCATTGTTAATTTCATGGATAAAAATTAGACTATCAGAAGCTGCTAAAATTATATACTGTCAAAGAGTTATTAGCCATAAGTATAGAAACAACTATTAGAGAACCTAAGCAATCTCACAGATACTATTGTTGAATATCAGTAGTTGTCAGACTAGCTACCGCATGCTGTAAATTTCAAATTCTTTCTGTACTAACTTATCTTCATAAGTCCATCTGTAAATTTAACTTCCTGAATTTCAACTCTTTTTAGAAGAACAAATTCTAGTCATCTGAAAAGTTTACTAAAAACAATAATTTAGCTCCACTTAAAAAAATATTATTTGCAAGTTGTAAATTGTGTATGTCTTTCTGAAAAAGTCACTAACAAAATGGAGATTCTTGTCCTTTTATCACACCACAAAACACTGTCTTTTCTGAGAAAAAGAACACTGGTACTGCAGAACAAAAAGAAGAATAGTTCTAAACGGTCTCTCCGCAGTAGCACATACACTCATCTATCACACAATGAGAGCATTCCTTCGCCATGGAGCAGTACTTGTTTTTCTTTCACAATAAGAGATGTATGTACCCATCTATCCACTACTGGGGTTCTTTTCCTCCTTGAGCATGAAACTAATGTTCTCTTTGTGAAAATCAAAGTAATGAACAAAGAAAATATCAGACACTTTGGTGATCATTGAAGTTGGCAATATTAGGGACAAAAATCAAACTAACGTGAATTCATACAATAGCAGCATCCTAATGGTTCAGAATGGGGTCTAGGGATTCCACAGAGCTCTAACACCATTAGTTTCAAAATAGTCATTGCTATTTCATTCTGTTTGTCAATGTTGATATGCTTTTACAAGCTTCCCGGTAGTAGTATAATTATTTCTCCCTCCTCCTCACAAAAAGCTTTCTCTCTTCATCTGGATTGTTTAGTCTGCTGGTGGTGCATTGAGGTGAATTTTACACCTTCAACCCATTATTAGTGTCTAATTACCAGGGTTGCCATAAGGGACCTTGGCTTTGTGATCTTAGGGCCTCCTCTAGTAGGGTGGTCTCCGAGTGACATACCTGAAAGGCCTGACTTCTCATTATGGGGCCTGTTTCTGGTGAGTTGTGTCATGTGTGGGGCCAGGGTTAAGATCTGTGTTTGGTTTTCAGAAGGTGGGGGGAGTAACAGTCCCGGAGACGTTGTCCTTGTACGTAGGCCATAGGCATACGTTTCAAAATTCAACGGACTTTAAGAAAACACGTGTTTTCATAAACATTTGTTGGGAGTCTCATGCTGTTTTGATTTAGATGCCAGTGTTTATTATTATAGTATTTCTCCCTAAATGAGTTGAATTTCTATATAAGTAGACACTTGAGTGTATGGGAGCAGGATTATTTTGGAAACACAAGCTAATGACTAGCCTCGCAGTGTTCAGGATGTCTGCTTCAAAGCAAAACTGTTTTTCTAAAACTTTTGAGGGAGAAATTGAAGAAAGAGCCTCGTCAACTGAAAAAACAATATATAGGCATTTCTTGTTATATCAAAACTCGAATTCAAATTAAAATCTTAGGTTAATTGTATTCTTGTGGAGGGGCCCCAGATTGGTTAGAATAATGTTTTCAGAATAACTTTCAAATGTCAATTGACTCCTGGCCCTGGAACAGAATAACAATTTATAAAATTTTTGTATTCTACATTAGATGTCATAGAAGTTACTGTCTTACTCACCATAGGATTTATATTTTTTCTACTTTTTCCTGCGCATGTGTGCACACACATACACATACACACACACTCACATTTAAGAAAGATGAGGGAGCTTAGAAACCATATGCATATTCTTAACTCATTTCGGCAAAAGCAGGCAAGGTTCCAGCATTACCACCTCAGTCTGTAGGATAATTTGGTCTAAGGCTATATGTCACATAATTATTTACATAAGTCTGAAATCATTGACAGGGGGCATTCTTCTCAGAAAAGGATGGCAAGATACCTGTCATAAAAATCAAGTACTGGGGTGACCGGTTAGCTCAGTTGGTTAGAGCATGGTGCTGATAACACCAAGGTTGCTGCTTCAATCTCCACAATGGGCCACTGTGGGCTGTGCCCTCCTTAAAAGAGTCAACTATGCCATCGTAGCATGAAAGCAATGTGTAACTATGACCATGGCTGTTTCCCAATAAAACTTAAAAAAAAAAAAAAGTCAAGTACCATTACTTATAATGAAAAAAAAAAAAAGAAAATTCAATAAGAATGCAACCAGGTTTCCCTAAGGCTTAACCAGAACTCGGGAATTAGTTAAGGAAAAAGCAGACAAGTGGTGAATGTTGCCTCCATGCCGGAACACAGAGCACAGCTCAGGAATATGTTCAGAGGCAGGGCAGTCAGTCACATGTCATGGTAGAGTGGAGTGAGGATCCAGTTGACACCAATCACCCAGCTTCCTGGGCAACTCAGTGGGTCCCCCAAAGTCTCTAGTCCTGAGTTCTCCATGTCCTCCAAGGGGAGGTCCTTTAGCCAGCAGTTCCAGAAAACAGATTCCAATACACTAAGCACAAGAGTTGGGCAATCATTGTAGTTTCACTCGATAGTGCCATTTAGACTAGTCAGGACTAGGAGTGAGTCTATCCTGGTAGGACAGGGAGTCCATGCGTCTTGTCTCTGAATGCTCCTTAGTGTGGGACCCTGCACACACTAAGTTATTTCAGCACAACGTGCCCCTTTGCCCATTGATAAAGTGCTGATGATCACTCTGCCCTGCCTGCTTTTTGCAGAACGCTATGAAGATAACTAAATAGCGCATTTAAAACATAATACATTCTTTGGTATTGTTGGTGTTCATTCCATGGAGTCAAGAATTATTTTCAGGTGATCCCTCAATGTTTAAGGTTTCTCAGTTCCAAAACTGGGTTATAGGTGTCTGTGCAGCTAGCTATAAGCAGCTCTTTGTACCTAGTTTTCAAATGTCCAAGACATGCCTTGGAATTGTGCTCTTTATGAAATCTTTTCAGAATCAAACAAATGCTCCTGGGAGTGGAAACTAAAGAATTCTAATAGAGTTATTAACTTTCCACACATTATTGTTAGAGAACACAAATTTCTTTCATTTTTGTTTCAGATGAACTTAAACCAAATGACTTTTTTTTAATTTTGAAATGTTTCTGGGTTATTTCTCCAGGACTTTATAAAACAAAATCATTCTTAATCATGTTGATTTAATTACTATGTACCCAGTCTTACTGTATTTTAACATACCGCTTATCTGTTACCCAACCAACTCATACAGAACATTCCCTTAAGAGGTCTATAAATTAACAATGCAAATTCCAGGCTTGAGAGGTCATTTTACATAAATGTTGTACCCCAAAGCCCTGTGTGACCAATATCAAAAACTGCCCCTCCTGCCTCCTTCCCGCTCCTCCCCTCCATGGCCCCACTTACTGCCCTTTGTTTATTTATTTATTTTTAATATCTTCATCCAACTCTGTATTCTACTGGATGGCGAAGAGTGCTTTTTTCAAAAAAACAAAAAATAAACAAAACAAAAACTCACTTCGTAAGAGGAAATCGGTTCTGTTTATCCTTTGCATATGTCTCAGGGAGCCGGCTGGCAGCTCTGCCATCCGAAAGCAAGTCATGCATAATAGAGAGGCTTTAGCCCCATAAGCCAGTCTAGTCCCAATTCATCAGTCAAAGTTTTATGCAAGTGGCCCCCCTAGGTTGATAAATCCCCACAGTGCCTGTTGACCCAGCTGCCAAGTCCTGTTGCTGTAGGCGGTGTTTTCATGGCCACCCTGACAGTAATACAAACTGTTTAGCAGCTCCATTGACCTTTCAGCTATTAACAGGGACACAGGCTCCACCAGGGACTAGTTTTCAAACATGACAGAATTTCTTAACACTAGAGGTCATGAACAAGTATATGCCCTATAAAAATCCATTCAGCATGGTGGATTTAAAGTCTAAAAGACAAGGAAGCATGTTCCACATTTTTGCTAGTATTATTTTTCTATATGCCCCAGTAACTAAAAAATGGGTATATACTTATGTGCCAGCTTATATTTTTATTCTCAACATACTCTGTTTTATGTTGTGGTGCACAATATCTTTTTAACTAACAAATCCTTTCTAAGCTGTCAGACAGCACTGAAATTTTAAAAATATATATATTACAAATAAATAAAATAAAATAAAATAAAAATATATTACAAATTATGGGATGAGATCAAAGTAAAAACTTCTAATGACTAGATGAGCATGCATACATAACATATGCTAATGGCCTCAGCATAACTGGAATGTTATTCTTACTTTACCAAGATTTGCATATA